TGTTGTGTAAACGTATTCATATCAGTTTCATAGTATGAATCACTGTCGGTAGAAGATAGATCTTGTACTTATCATGAGCAGTCTGGCACAATCTTGTATATACATGTAATCCTATATGTAATTTTCAATCATGCATATATTATAATCCAGGATTTTAGGTAAACATGTGACGGTGTTGCGACACACTGTATGTGACATTCAAAACAGACATGAATCATACCGCAGTAGCCAAGCTCTCAACATTCGTTGCACACTTAATTTCTTTTGTTTGTTTGTTTGTTGTTTAACGCCACACTCAGCAATAATCCAGCTATATGACGGCGGTCTGTAACTAATCTGGACAAGACAATCCAGTGATTGACATGATGAGCATCGATCTACGCAATTGGGACACGATGACATGTATCAACCAAGTCAGCGAGCCTGACCACTAGATCCCGTTGTCGCCTGTTACAAGTCTGTACACAATTAGTGCTTGCTTTGTTTTATGGATGTATACATGATGGTCGTTATTATGATTCTGTGCGATTGTATTATTATCACAGGGGCGGTTATGTAGCCAATTGGTTACAGTGTAAGGTCGCCATGCTTTAGGCCAGGTTCGATTCCCCATATGGGTACACAGTGGGAAGTCTGTTCCTAGTGTCCTAGTCAATATATGTCGGGAATATTGCTTAAACAGCCTGCCAACCCTACTTATGCAGTGATCATCATCATTAACTTCTTAAACATTGCCACTTTTATCATTATAATAATAATCACAATACTCGACATATTTATTTTCATGATATTAAACCCAGTCTTTATCATTATCATCAACTCCTTATATTGCTTAGTACCCCAACATTGCCCAAGAGTCACTTTCAGCACGCAATGTGTAGATTTCCATCTCAGTATCAATGTTCATATTCACAAGTAATGACGTCACAGCTCTAACTGGGTCAACCCAAAGCGACAATTAAGACGCATTCCGTCGGGTGACAAACATCTTTCAGTGGGTGGTTATGGGATCGATATATAATCACCGCGCATGTTTCACTGCAACGATGTACATGCTTGTACATGCTGTACAGCTGAACGTATTATTTCGCGCGTTCACATTTTGGTTTGAAAGGTAGGTGCCAGTTTTCCTTTCCTGTGTAATTAGGTACCACTAGACTATTATAGAAATATGATATAGAAAAATAACTTGAAATGAGTTCTGGATGATTCGATTCACATTTGCTGGCACTAATCTTGCACTAACACTGCGTTTCTCAGACTCGATTGTTTACAGGGCGTTGTGAGAGGGTAGGTACAGTATCTGACCATGTCTGATTGTGCTCCGTATACCTGAACGGCATTGTAACATTGCCTGTCCCAGACTCGATTGTTTACAGGTTGTTGTGAGAGGGTAGGTACAGTATCTGACCACGTCTGATTGTGCTCCGTATACCTGAACGGCATTGTAACACTGCCTGTCCCAGACTCCATTGTTTACAGGTTGTTGTGAGAGGGTAGGTACAGTATCTGACCATGTCTGATTGTGCTCCGTATACCTGAACGGCAATGTAACACTGCCTTGTCCCAGACTCCATTGTTTACAGGTTGTTGTGAGAGGGTAGAAACAATAATTGACTCTGTGTGATTGTGCCCCGATGACCTGAACGGCATTGTAACACTGCCTGTCCCAGACTCCATTGTTTACAGGTTGTTGTGAGAGGGTAGATACAATAATTGACCCTGTGTGATTGTGCCCCGATGACTTGAACGGCATTGTAACACTCCCTGTCCCAGAATCGATTGCTTACAGGTCGCTGTGAGCTGGTGATTAGAATTGGTCTTCAGCAACATATGCTTGTCGTAAGATGGGACCAACTAGATCGAATGGTCAGACTCGCTGACCTGGTTGAGGCCTGTCATCGTATCACAATTGCATTGGTCGATTTTCACGCTGTCCGTCATTGGATCGCTGGTCCAGACTCGATCACTGTGCAATCGCAGTCATAAAATAATGAGTAGCCACCTGCTATATGTCACTTGATAAATTTATCTGGGTCGATGTGGACAAATGCCTCCCTCATCGAACATGTTTTTGTCGGACCTGTTTTGTATTCAGTACAACATCAGGCTCTCGCTTTCCCTTTGGGCAGTTTCTGACCAGGCCCCGTTTCATAAAGCTATGCTAGCGCTAAGGTGATCGTTACTCCCATACTTTAACATGGGCCTTAGACAGTCGCAGCACTAAGGTCGCTTTGTGCAACTGAGCCCTGTTGTTCTGCGTTTCATGTCGGTTGTACCGATGTTTACTCTCTTATACCGAAATACAGGTATCTTGTCACATGGTACAGGTGTATTGTATAATGGAACAGGTGTGTTGTAGCATGGTATTATTTGTTTAACGCCGCATTCACAATAGTACAGCTGCATGACGTCGATCTGTAAATAATCTTGTCTGGACCAGACAATTCCGTGTCTGACATCATGAGCATCGATCTAAGCACTTGGATTACGATGACATGCAGCACCCAAGTAGTGTAGTGCACGTGTGTTGTGTTGTAGTGCACGTGTGCTGTATTGTAATACATGTACATATATGTTGCATTGTACAAGAGGTGTGCCGTACTGTGGTACAGGTATATTGTGTTGTAGTAGATGTGTCTTGTATCTTGGAACATATTTATCATATATAGGTATGTTGTATGATAGTACACGTGTTGTATTGTGGTCCAGGTGTGTTGTACCGTGGTACAGGTGTTTTATAGTGACATATATGTCGTGGGACAGGTGTACTGTGTTATGGTACATGTGTCCTTTACAGTTGTACATATATGTGTATCGTGGTACGTGTAAGTTGTATTGTAGTACAGGTGTGTTGTATTATAGACTCTCAAAAACGAAATGAAATATAAATATAGCAAACATATCAACTATTTTATTGACGACATGTGTTGGAGTGAACAACAGTTATGGCACCTGCCACGCAGGTGGTCTAAAATGTTTGTAAGCTGGTGACTTTGATATTGACCAGAAAGAGAGCTGTTATCATTTTGTTTCCTCGAAGTAAATATATTTGTTGTCAATGTTTAACTTTATCTCGTCACGGCATGGCTGAGATATTGCCGATGTGACGTTGAATCTTAACTCACTCACTCACTCACTCACTTAATCAATAAATGATTGATAATTGATGGATAATTAATAAACATCATTTAATTTGAGCAAAGAGTGATGGTTTGTGGGATGTCTGAGACTTTTTAAGTATCATTCCGTCTCTTTATGACTAAAATATAAATTATAACTCCCTGATGGTCACTTTACATATTCGTGGATCACGAAGATACATGTTGCATGGTTCTGTCGTTATTTACGAAGTGTGATCATGTTGTTTCCTATTACAAATGATTATTTATTTGACACATGTATGTGATTGTAGTGCATGTAGCTTGATGACTTTGGTTGAACATATATAAAGAAGCTACCAGCCCAAGGAATGCCATCAGACTGCATTCCTGTCACCGCATATCATGCATGTTGGGACACATCACAAACTCTAGCTTTACCGTCCGATAGTGATATGTTATGGCGATTTAGTCAGGTGTGATATATGTCGCTGTTATGAACACTATCATGTTTTCAACTTACTCGTTACTGACGTTCTAGATTGCTTCACTGTTGAACATGGCGGCGGCCATATCAGGCGGTCTATTGCGTTGAACCTCTTTCGTGATATCAAAGTTATTTCATGTGTATTGAACACTCTGGCTGTTAATAGATTGTTCATGTGTTCATTTTGTTGAATCATTGTGTTTGAAGCCATGAATGTGTTCAGAGACATAATGTAATATATGTTTACTTTATCTATTGAGTTTAGTGTTTGTGTTCATGTAGATATGAGGTTGTTCAAATATAAACGACAAAATCCTTTCGATCGCCACACGAAATCTCGATTGTCGATTGTACGATTCCATCTATTTCATGAGCATGTGTTAATGAATCACTATCAAATAGTGATGATATCAGGTGTTCGGGAAACGGTGAGGTTATCCAGAAAGGAACAGGGATATATGATTTCAGGTTTCATTTTAGCTGGTGAAACATGGGATTTGGCAAAAACAAGTACGTTTCACGAAGTATATTTCTCCATTATATCGCACGATATGACTTACATACCCTATAATTTGAGATGTTGAAGTTGTATATATTAATGCAATTCAGAAAATGTTTCCTACATAACTCTCGTGTGTTTAACCCAATGTATTTTCATAGGAATATTGCTATATGATAGTTGTTGTATTTTAGTTATACCACTAATTCGAAGCTACATTACTTCCTGGTGTTGTGTCTCTGAAATGTCAGATATGGAATGCCATTCCGGAGGCCTTTCTTTAACGTGTAGTGGCCTCACTTAGGCAAAGGTGTAAGGCCTCAATCAATGTACAAGGTGGACACAGTCGCTATTGACTATCTGGACCTGCCTCTGAACCTCTCGTGTGACATGATTCATTTTGCATATGACAGGAGCCTTCTTCATCTTGACTGTTGCTTGCTACCGCATCTTCAGGCATTGTTCTTTCCATATGGTATAATTCCATCCAAGACAGTAATTTGTTTTGACCAATTCTCTTTGTTTTTGCTTTTGAGTATATTATGTCCTATATATTATAGTGAGTGAGTTTGGTTTTACGCCGCTTTTAGCAATATTCCAGCAATATCACGGCGGGGGACACCAGAAATGGGCTTCACACATTGTACCCATGTCGGGATTCGAACCCGGGTCTTCGGCGTGACGAGCGAACGCTTTAACCACCCGACCGCCCCCCTTTATATTATATCACAATAGTGGTGAATTTAAGATGGACACCTTCGATAGTAAGAAACATATTATATTTTTTTTTATTTTTTTTTTTATATTAACACAGAAATATATTTTGCCAGACTAGTGATTACTCTATAAAATGTCACAAACTGCATTTATGTGTTTTACCGACAAGGTTTATGTTTTCAGCCATTGGAAAGACTCGAAGAACAAACTAAACAAAACGACATGGCCCACGCTGACCTGAAGGAAACTTTTGAAAAGGAAAGAACTGAAAAGCAGAATGAGGATAATGAGGCTCGTAAGCTGACAGTTAGATTTTCTATTTCAAATCAAGGTTTTATTTGCAAGTTGGAATATACCTATGCTGACAGAGTTTATGATGACACATGCTACGGTGCTGGCTACCTATGGACGGTATATAAGCATTGACCACATGGTCGTCGTAATACAACTGGACAAGTGTGGAATGTGCCGTTAAGCAACAAAGCAACAAACACACACACATTGACCACATAATGTATTGACTTTAGATATAATTAGTTTCAACATATTTACTGTTACTAATGCTATGTAAAGTCGGGGTTTTATCTTTGTAATTTGCACATTGTAGCTATGAATGAAAACAAAGTTTAACTCACAGTTTGAGATTGATTAGGTAGTACGTACAGTCGAACCTCGTTATCTCGAACCACATCATCTCGAATGTACAGATATCTCGAACCTATTCTCCATTCCAAACCGCCTCAATATATTCATAGATATAAATTTACCTGCTTATCTAGAATTCGAGATATAAATACACAGTGTTATCTCGAACTAACTATAGAATTGTGTACCTTTATCTTGAAGTTGGCATTTGCCACATTAACAGTTTTGAGCAATTTAAACCAATTGTTCAAAAAATTATGTACTTATATTGTAATTCAATTGTAATGGACATCACTTCCTGAAAAAGCCACGAGGAAAAACATGACATCACTTCCTGAAAAAGCCACTTTACGCTAGTCACAATATCCAAGATGTGAAGAAACATGCTTGAGCTAAGAGGAGGACTTTGTTGTTTGTGGGCATATTAAATAGTGACTGTTGCTATGCCTAATAACATACATGTTATCAACGAGGAAGTCCAGCATTTCCCGTATTGTTTTCTCGGTAAACTTCAGATGGTATTTGCTTTCATTTTTGACAAATTGCCCTGAACCTCTGAATATAGGTACTTAGCTGTTTCTGATCACCATGTTTTGTATCAAAAGCCCATGAATCAAGGAATGAAATTTGTCCTTAAGTTTGTCACGTTGGATAGTGAGGTACAAAGTTGATAAAATAATAATGTTTGGAACGACAGAATGGAACTTGGTTCTTTTCTGAGATTGCATAAAGTCAAGCAAAACCTTTGGATTTTTAAGAATCCATATGGTATTAATTCCACTTGTCACAAACACTTTCTGTGAATATAAATAAAGTCCTTCCTTGATTGTATTGATTGGAGGATTATGGTTATTGTGTTCCAATTGTTTGTCATGAGCATCAATCCCCGCATTTAAATACAATGACATGCATCAATCAAGTTAGCGATCATGACCACCCGATCCTTTTGTCGCCTCCAGCAGAGAAATCGGCCCTGCTAGGTTGGAGATAATGGGGTCCGACTGAATGTGTTTTTGTAAGTTTGAAGAGACAAATCATGAAGAAGTTGGTTCAAATAAAATGGTTAGCAAGAATCTTGACACTTCACATGCCGTCCATACTTCAGCAGTGTCAACAAAAGACAACGAGGAGCCCAACGCTGTCACTGGTGTACTGCAAAAGAAATCTGATGACAATCTCAAGAAGAAGCTTCCAGAGGATGACACAGACCAGAAAGCTGTGGAAGATGTTGCCGACAAATTTGCTGGCCTCGCCGTGGATACAGATTCACAGTCTACTTTACAAGGTAAATACAATCAAAAACGTGTAAATTCAAAAGAATACTCAGGGCACATTGACTAGTACCTCATTCGACATAAGAGGGTTGCTTAAATGTCTCAATCAACTTAATTGATGATGCATACACATAATACAGCATTTAATCCCGAGAGGGGTCGGGTAGCCTAGTGGTTAAAGCGGTCGCTCATCACGTCACGCAGAAGACCAGGTTCGATTCCCGACATAGGTACAATGTGTGAAGCCCATTTCTGGTTTCCCCCGCCATGATATTGCTGGAATATTGCTAAAAGCGGCGTAAAATCAAACTCACTCACTCGCTATTCCCCACATATTGTTGTAGCACTGATCCACACAGTGTGATAGACTCAAGAGTCTTATGAGAATATAAATTGAAAAGAGACCATTATTTACTACTAAATAATGGATCTATACTTCTCTACATGTCTCTCCTGAGAGAACAAGACACCAACACGATAATATGAATAATTTTAAATTAAGTATTGCTGGAATCATAAGTATAATATTTCTTCTATGAACCCATATACACATATACACACGGAAAAAAGAGATTGTGCTCGTTTATAAAGCTCACTAAAAATATATATTTATTCTGAAATTTTATAACGTAACTTTCACTCCATATTCATGAATACATCTCCTCGACTTTAAGGCATGTACATGCGTTTCTAATACTCACACACGTGTTTTCCTTTTTATGTAAACAGCACACAATGATTGTTTTACTGTCAGGTGCTCCTGAAACACTTGTGTTTAACTGTAAATAATGCTCATACAATGTCACGGCTTGCTGAAAATCAACGTCAACGCGCCGTGGTTATGCTGCAAACAGCAATGGCACAAACAGAATTTTCCAAACATTTTAATGTTTATTGAAGTGCAAGATCATCTCTTGGGAGACGTTATCTACAGCAAGACAACACTCATGACTTGCCACGGGCCGTTCGTCCACGTGTGACGTCACGTCAACAAGACAACCATATTATGTTCGTGTATCTATGGAATCGATACTAAACTGCTACATTAACTTTTTGGACACATTTATTGGCAGAACATATGCAACCAGTAGAGGGACCACAACACCCGGCCCCAATGTCCCGCGATACGACCAATTTTGCTCGCACGTCTCCGTCAGGCACGCCTTGCTTGGTGTAGACAGCATCTGGGGTTCAGGAGACAAGATAGGGACAGTATACTGCTCACGTATAAGTCCAGGTTTCATCTGGACATCTCTGATGGGGTCTCCAGGCTTCCAGCAGAACGTTTGGGCGAAGCTTGCGTTACTGAACGTCGTCATTTTGGGGTTGAAGTGTAATGGTATGGGGTGGCATCAAAACTCATAGTAGAACACATCTCATCATTGTCAATTTGTAAAGCGTACGCTACCTGGACGACCCTTCAAATGCAGGGAAGTAACGTCAGTGTGCAGTGGATAATGCCCACCTACACGTTGCACGTGTTGAAACAGACGTTTGGAGGTAACATAACATTGCTGTACTGCCATGGCCGACAGTTTCACCAAACCTCTCTCCCCATAGAACATGTCCGGGATGAGATAGAGCGATGCCTCACACAGGACCAGAGCCAGCCGGTAACGCTAGCTCAGATGGTCCAATCTTTGAATGACAATTAGAACCTGTCACAGGCTGCCTGGTGCCTCGCCTGCGTCAATGCAAATGGTGGTTACGCCCAATATTGGCATTGTTAATTGAGTTCTTCACCATCCCTTTTTTTGAGCGTACCACTGTCCCCTGTTACCTGGTATGGGTTTTGCGAATTATTTTTTTATGATGAAACATTGATCAGACTAATGACCATATATACTGAACAGCATTGAAAACGCACCGCCATGAAAATGGATGTATTTTTATCCGGGCTTAAGTCATATGACAATATATAAGTGAATGAGTAATATACGAAGTTCTGGACGAAGCATGAAGAAGAACAGCTCGTCAAAACACATTTCTATTTTTTTTGTGAGCGAAATCGCCAAAATCGCCTGACACAAGAAATGCCAAGATTAACAGCAGAGGGCATGCTTCAAGTTGGTACGTCAAGTAGAGTCGTTGCACAACGGTTTCAATGCCATCATTCAACAGTCCTCGGGCTACTGAGCAGATACCAGTAGACAAGAACCACCAGAGAGGAAGTGTCATGGTGTGGGGCGGCATCAGTCATAACCATCGAACAGAGCTCCATGTTTGTCGTGGAAGAGTTAATGCCCTTTACTACAGGAATAACATATTGGCAAATCACGTCATCCCTTTCTTTCATCAGCACCAGGATATGCACACCTTCGAGCAAGATAATGCAAGAGCGCACACATCACGTGTTTCAACACAGCACGTGTTTCAACACAGTACCTAGCGAACAATAATGTGCCTAGCGAACAATAATGTGCCTCTGCTTCCATGGCCAGCCCTGTCACCCGATCTATCGCCATTTGAACATCTATGGGATTACCTGGGTCAACGCCTCTCACGTCGTCCGCAAGTACAGAACCTGAGAGAACTTGAAGGTACACTACGTCAAGAATGGAATGCCCCAGATCACTATTCGCAGACTTATTTGATCAATGAGAAGACGTTGCATGGTCTGTGTTGCTGTCAATGGTGGACATACCAGATATTGACTTTTCATTTTAACCCTATGTGTCTTCCTTACACTGATGACGTAATTGTAATTACTGTGTGGTATTCCTGTTTCCTTTGTCGTCTTTCTTAATAATCCGTCTATGTCTGTTTTAATCAAAATCGGTCATTGCTCAAGTTGTTTTTGTAATATTTCAAGATTTATTGCTGGTGCCTTTTCAATGCTGTACAGTATATTATGTTGTTATTTTCAATAACATAACATTTACACCACTTTATATGAATCACAGTTACTTTTTGTCGCTAGTATATATTGTTGGCTCCAACGGTTCTCTTTGATACATGTGTTTCAGCTACACCGCCCAGTCCGGATCGCGTACCAGCTGTCCCTCCTCAGGATTCTGTGCCTATTGTGCCCAATGCATTGGTCGTGAATGCGCGATCCCTACGCAAAAACAAGTCGTTCCTACAGCGTCGTCTTGATGATGATCTCAACTGGGCGCACGTCATTCTGGTGTCCGAAACTTGGTACAAGGATAAACATACCGACATTGAAAGAAGCATAAATAGGTATAATGGTTTCTTTGAAGATCGAAAGGAAGAGTTAACAAGGAAGGGTAAAGGAGGGGGTGCGGCGATCTATCTCTCAGCTGCAGATTGTTCAGAAGCAAAGTATGTGTACAAAGAATCCTATCCTCATAGCGAGGCTGTAGGGGTCACCTTCGTGTTCAGAGGCGTGGTATGGTTGGCGGTGTGTATTTACAGTGTATCCATAACATGGGAAGATGAAGAGGAACGAACGAATTGGAACAACAAATTCATTCAGTCGGTACTTGCCAGCGAAGGACCTAGAGGCATAGATTTGGAACAGACCATTATAGCCGGTGGAGACCTGAATCACAGTAAAGTGACATTGCCTGGTTTCACCAACTACGTAACAACCAGAACTCGGGAAGACGCCATCCTCGACCTACTCTACACCAATCTCGCCAGGGGTTGGGATTTTGTGAAGACCGTACACACATACAGATCTCGGATCATTTCATTGTGAGGGCTTTCTCTCTAAAATCTTATATTAAAACAGTGAACGAGCGTGTAACGACAATATACATGGAAGTCGGCAAAATGTTATGCGAACAACAAGACAAAATCACTCAGCTTCATGATGATAATAGAGTACTCCATCAACAGATCAGTGCGATGAGAGACCGACTTGATGCCTTCGAATCTCGGAACAAGGCGGAATAACCTTCTGTTCCATGGACTTCAGGAAGATAAGAACGGATCATTGCAAACTTCGGAGCGTAAAGTTCGAGAGTTCGAGGAAAAATTGGATATCACTGAAGCAGACGATATAGTTATCACATGAGCTCATCGATTACGCAGTGGGAAGCAAACCCCGAACGAGACAATCATAAATATTTATAACAATCATTACCTACTACTTGCTGGATATTTCAATGCAAGGATGCATACATTTCTGGATTATATCCCAGCTGATGATCTCAACTTCATCCAGGAGAACAGTGATGACTATCGAACTGATGGGTTCGATATTCCCCGTAAAACAAAGGATAACACTCTATACAACAGTTTTGGTGTCAAACTAGCAGAATTATCTTGCACACATGATGTCCATGTACTAAACGGGCGGCTATTTGATGATATGGATGGGAACTTTACTTGTATCACTCACAATGGTGCCAGTGTGGTGGACTATTTTCTGGCAAGTACAGATTTATTTCCACATTTTAGCTCCTTTGGTGTTCATGAGAGAGATGAATCTAATCACTTCCCTTTTTACTGTACTATTGACTTTCCACTTAATTACTCTGTTTTTAATAATAGTCATATTGGTAATGGAAACCATCAAGATTCACCTCAGCAAGAAAGATGGACCAAGTATACATGGTGCCCATGTAACAGTAAATCATTTATGGTGAATTTCCAAGATCTCTTTTTAACATATTGTGATAGTATATACAAACAGATTGAAGAAAATGTAGAAGACAGTGTAGATGCTTTAACAGACCTTTACCATAGTGCTGCAGAAGAGTTTAAAAGAGTTTTTCAAAGGGACATAACCATGTAGAAGATGAATTCCATGTTCTTATGATTTGTGACCAGTATTCTAGAGCAAGAAGAAACTCTTTTCCCAAGCGTCTCGTTACCCCTCCCTCTATTGAGAATTTTATAAGACTTATGTCAGCTGAAAACGAACAAACTATAAAAGGCTTAGGAAAATTTCTCTCTCAAGTCATGAACATCGAAAGGAAACAGTTTGGAACGGTAAATCATTATTAAATCTACTCAGCATGCATATACATATATACAGTATATTTCCATTGTATTATAGGGCCGGTGGCCTGAAGTACCGAATAAATTTGTCTGTCTGTCTGTCAAAATAAGAAGGACAGACATGGTAAGAGGTTGCCCATTTTATATTCTGGGGAGGGTTGGGGCCTGGAATTTAATCGAAAAAATATATTGTCGCTGAAAATTCTTTACAAAATGTTTAGGTTTCAGACTGGTGAAACAAACGTAATTGCCTGCCACAAAAAATGACATAGTTGCAAGGTGCTTCTTCATAGACTTAAATACAAATATATATTTGGTTTTGAAGCTGTGACCGAAAAATTTCTCATCTCAACAGAAACGTACCAGCCAACATTATTCACAGCCAGGGGTTTATTTGGTGTATTACTCAATGGTCCAACATTCCTGCTTTTATCTCCTGGAATACTCGTGTCCCATTTTCACCCTTGCTGAAGCGAAAATAACAATTTTCCACATTATAACAAAGTCAAAACTAGAACTATATTCAGTAAGCATAAAGTAATAGTCTTTCCAAAAAGATAACACTTATTGTATAATTGTCTAAAAGTTAGGATACACTGTATATGTAATATCCACATGTAGAACGTTGAATCGGAAATATCTCAGGCTACAGATATCAGATTTAAGAAACAAAATTATGAAAAAGTGAGTACCATAATAAAAAACACCTAACGTAATTTTGTGTCCATACCATACTCCGGTCTGAAAAGAATGGATTCTTAGCCAGACAAACCAGTGATTGGTATTATGAGCCACGTCCCACAACCTCGGTCAGAGTACAATTACACACAATCAGCCTTCATTTTATCGACCCTTAGCAGCTGTTAGTACAAACATAGATACTTGTACATATTTGTCCCGATTCGTTGAAAATTCCTTACACTATTTTAAATCCAATTTATTAAAACTACAGCTTATAGTATAATAAAATATTCCCAACTTAATGTTATATACCTGTTTATTCAAATTCTTGTACATTTAAAATTAGCTACCTTTATTATTCTACTTTTATTTCATTTTAATTATTTTACTTACCATATGTTTTATATAAACTTAATACTCCCCTTAGGCAAAGGATTACCGAAAGGCAAACATTATACCAAATGCATTGTTTTTAGAAAGTAATCCTCTCAATTAATGTCAAACAGTAGGTTAGTAAAACTCGGGAAATCAGTCAGTCATTACAAGCCTCAGGTCAGAAATTCTTATCCAACCAAAATTGGCGTTACATACTTTGGACCAATAACAGTAAAGGCGCAGTTCCAGCTCCTCGGCCTCTCAACTATGTAAAACCTAGCAGATGCCCCTTTGGTATCACATCTGCTCAATAAATAAATACGGGAACTGTCGCCATCAACTCTGTGATTTATATTCTCAACTTTATGTTCTAAGGTAAGCTGGTTTCCCTTGTTCAAAATATTTGCATGTGTAGTTATTGTTTAGAAATGTTTGAAGTTAGACCAAACAACTCTGTTTAAATATGCAGTAAAGTTATCTCACTTGAACTGAGTACAGGTAATTTTGTATTTATGTTGTCTTTGTAAAATGTAAGTAATTATTTGGAATGTTTGTGTTTATAACGTTCTACTCAGTGTTTTTGCAATTAATTATAAAATGTTGTTCATATTTTTATAATACTGCTAACAATTATCATTAATTGAATGTCACACTTTGTTGGGAATAGTTGTATTTTAAATGTATTATACCGACCTCAACATTGTTGAGTTACCGCACATTTATCGTTAATGTGAGTATTATTAATAATATTGTAAAAAGGCTAGTTTAAGGAAATGCAAAGGGCAATACCTATCGTAAGCCTCCAACTGTTTGAATGTGTAGATATCCCAGCCCATATTATTAATAGACATACATTTTCATAATCGTGATAGATGCAAAGGTGGTAGTCTGTATATCTGTGTAATCTTATGTGTTTGTGCTTAGTCTCGAGTTTAATTATATCCTTTCTACTTTCAGTATCCAGTTAATTGTAATATGTAAATGATATCAACTGTAGCCAGTCATCTTCCCGCCATTGTCAACACTACCATGCTAATTCCCCCAACAATCAATTATCAACTCTATGAGCTTATTCTCTCATGAATATTCATTGATTAAATGTTAAATTGTAATATTATACAATATCTTATGCACATCTTTATTATTGTAATAACTTGAAATTTTGTATTGAATGTATCTACATAACATCTGCCCAAGAATAAATACTGGAACTGTCGCCATCAACTCTGTGATTTATATTCTCAACTTTATGTTCTAAGGTTACCCAAATATATGTGAGAGCGCACAGCACGCGTTCTCATACAGAGGCATAACAACTAGCAGAGACTGCTTTTGAAAAATGAACTAACCTCAACAACTATCTGGTTCCATTTGCTTCACAGTCACTTGGTTGTAATAAGCCTATGTATCCAGAGTGAGCTTGAACTAAGATGGCGGGTGACAACATATCTTCCGCGACGTGACGAATGGGGTCTGAATATTTCTGAGAATGTTAGTGTGAAAAGTGTAGTTGTACGTGTGCCAGATATATGCATGGGGAAGTATGTGTCTGACTGGAATGAACGGTTATGCAAGCCTGGCGGAAGAACGGGTGGTAACAAATTGCGTACGTATAGAATGTTTAAAGATGGGTATCGATGTGAAAGTTATGTAAGTATGTATATGCCTCCTTCTTACCGCTCTGCCTTCTCCAAATTTAGATCAGGCACTGCTCTTCTGAAGTTGGAAACAGGAAGATATATGAATATGAATGTGAATGAAAGAGTGTGTTTTCAGTGTAAGGAAAGTATTGAAGATGAATGTCATGTATTACCTGATTGCCCTGTGTACGATGATTTGCGTGAAAGTTTATACGAAAAGGTCAGTTTTAGCTATCCCAACTTTCTAGAGTTATGCAATACTGATAAACATTTTAAATATTATGTATATTTTACAGCCAAAACCTGCTTTTTAATTCTCCAACGAAGAAAAAATATTTTATATGGCTAGTTACGGATAGTATATTTTCATATCCCTTTTACACCAATATATATATGCTGTACATACTGTGATATATTTTAAGTCTCTCGTAACCCTTAACGGGTGACTCACTTTTATGTCCTTTTATATGTATATATGTAATTATTTCTGTGAGGTGAGACTCAAATAAACAATATGTCTGTCTGTCCGATATCAAACTACCGTATTTCCTCATTTGGGCGCTACGCCGTCTATTAATTTCGCGAGAGCCGTTGACTCGGCGTGTATTAGATACCTGGCTTGTATTAGATACATGGCTTGTATTAGATACCTGGCTTGTATTAGATACATGGCTTGTATTAGATACCTGGCGTGTATTAGATACATGGATTGTATTAGATACATGGCGTGTATTAGATACCTGGCTTGTATTAGATACCTGGCTTGTATTAGATACCTGGCGTGTATTAGATACCTGGCGTGTATTAGATACATGGATTGTATTAGATACCTGGCGTGTATTAGGTACCTGGCTTGTATTAGATACATGGCTTGTATTAGATACATGGCTTGTATTAGATACATGGCTTGTATTAGATACCTGGCTTGTATTAGATACATAGCTTGTATTAGATACCTGGCGTGTATTAGATACATGGCTTGTATTAGAGACCCAGCGTGTAATAGAGGAAATACATTTTACAGTTCATATGGGGGTTGATTGATTGGCAGCCATTT